GATTTTTTGTGTTCAAAGACGTAAGTGTGCTCTTTTGGTGACATAAACAATAATTTTCTTATGTAGCCTACTTTCTGAACAAAGATTTAGTAACATTAGAAAAGAAACGTCTTTCTCAATGCTTTGTATCTCTGGGCACCACAAGATAAAATTTTGAAACAAATTGGTCCTTATTCAAAAAAAGAAACGGGCAATAATCTGAAATAAGTAAAAACTTAATTTTGTCTATGTTGCATACTACAGTTCAGTATAAAAAAAGTAGTTAGGTATCACATGTTTATTTAGTAAAGAGTCAATTGAGACTTTTCAAAACAAAAGACAGTTGGGGAGACTAAGAAAGTGTCAGATGTGACGGCTTAAAAAATTTCTAGATTTGCAAAAAAAACATTTCAAAATTTGTTAAAGAAATGCTTAAATTTAAAAAATGTCAAAACTGATTTAAAACATGGAGTTGCAAAAGACAGTGGAGGAGACTAAGGAAGTGTCTAGAAATACCGGTTTAAACAATACCTAGATTTTCAAAAAAAAATGTTACAATTTTTTTAAATAAGAATGCTCAAATTTAAAAAAGTAAATTGTGACAAAACTAGAAATGTTATTGAATTAAATTACAATTCTTGCAAAGTTTGTTCTTTAAACCAAACAAAAATTTATCAAAATCAAGTCAAAGTTAAGAAAAATGAAAATATTATAATATAAAAAATCGCAAAATTTTAGTTGTCCGGTTACTTTTAGTGGCCAGTGTATGTACATACAGGGGTGATTTGTAACATGTAGCAAGTCTCATACTAAGAAATTTTAATTTTCTATAAATGGTTACACCCCCTATACCACTGAAACCAAATTGAAACATTAGTAAAAAATCATCTACTGTACAGGGTGCACCAGAACTCGCATTATGGCTTTTATTGGCAAAATTTTTGTACCTTTACTTAATAATTATAAAAAAAACATATACACGATTATTAGTATTATTAAATAAACATAAAAAAATATCAAATGTCAAAAAATAAATGTCAAAATTTTTTGAGAGATAGAATTGTTTTATGTTTCTGCTATCTCATCTTACTTGAAATTTTTCTCTGACGAGCAAGTTCTGATACACCCTGTATAATAAGCGGAAAAATTATAGAATAATCTTAATAAAACTGAAAATATTTTGTTTTGGCAAAAATACTCAAACAGGTCAATTTTCTTTAAAATACACAGTTTTAGCTTAATTTGAAATTTTACATTTTTTGGTTTTTGAGTAATGAAGTCATCGACATTTTTTTTAATAGATACCCTAACATTTTTTAGCCAATTTGATAGATTTTTTAATTGTCGAAATGACAACACTGAAATATTAAAGTATTTTTGTCAAAGCATAATATCTTCAGTTTTAATAAAAAAGATTATTTCATAATTTTGCCGCTCGCCGTATAATTAAACTTTTCCAAAGTTTTTTGTAACCTAAATTCCTGACATTTTTACAGGTGTATTATGGTTCGAAATATTTTAATAATAAGGGAGTTAATGCGTGATTATTAATTATGGGTCTAAAACGCAACACAAATTATCAAGTACTTAGCGCAATAGGTCTGAAATAACACAACATCACGTATATCACACAAACTTCATTATCGCGAATCGACATCATTAATTTTCATAGGAGAATTGTTTATCCAAGATCAATGAAATTAATTTATAACGTAATATGCAAGAGTAAGTGCGTTAATTAATTTTCGGTTTAGGACTAATACGTGAGGTAAATCAGTTGCAGAACTTCGGAAACGACAACATGCATCGGACCAGAAATCCACGTCCTGGATTTTTCCGGTCGGCCAAAAGCCCGTGATTGTTATAACACGGATCGATAGTCACGTTTTCTTAATAAAAGTAAAGTTTTCTATTTAACAAATTGTTGACGGAAGAAAAGAGCAATTTTCTAATGACCTGAGCGCCACTCGAAGCATGCAGAGAAACTCCGGTTGTGTTTTATTTCGAGAGTTGCAACAACAAGAAAAACGCATTCACGTATATACACACACGGAACGGTTTCCATAAAATTACAATAAATTTTTCCTGCTGGATGCAAACTAAAATAAACTAGCGAGCTTTACGCAAATGAAATTTTAAACGAGAACGAGAAAGCGACTGATAAATTTATGATATTCGCAATTAAGTGCGTCTTGTCACTGAAATATTTTTTAATCTTTGTTATAACTGAAGCCCAATTCGCGCGATAAAACCTCGACATGGTGGCAATAACTGTGTCCAATATCCGCCTGTTCGCCCCACAAACCGTCCACATTATTACATTTTTACTCTTCATAGTCGTACAATTCTACAAGAAATAATGATCCAGAAAGCACCACTGTCTTACACAAATTCCAGCCGGAATTACATCCCGGAAACGGAGCAAAGTCGCACTTAAAGAAATTGGATCGATTTATAAATCCTGCAATTGCAATGAATTCGTCTAGGTGCAAAATGCGATTTTCTTTCACACTCTCGTTACATTTTTGCCAGAAAATGTTCGCCAACTTTTCCAATTTTACTCAACACTGGAAATTAACAATTGTTAAATTTCATTTTACAAATCGCATCTAATTTGAATGTTGGGCCGTAATGCTACAACAGGAGGAAATAACAAGCTTTTATGTCAGTTTTAGGAGAATTAGGGTCAGAGTTGCTGGAATATTTTCCAGTTATAGGTTTCATTAAGTTGCACCTCATTAACACTTGTAGGAAATACTGACACATTGTTGCCTCACACATTTTTTTATGGGTTATTGTGTTCTCTTGTTAAAACCCACTTTGTTTGGCTTTATGGTAAATGATGAATTATGATCGCCAGACTAGCCATGTAGAACAAAGCCCGCTTGGAAACCTTTCAGAATTAGTAGATTTTAAATTTACTCATGTTTATAGATCAAACAGTGGAAATTCATTCAATGGTTCAAAATAAAACTAAAAACAGTATTAAAAAAAAACACTTTTTGTATACGCTCCCAAAATAGCTTTTAAAAACTCAGTTGAATCCCCAAAATGAGCTTTTTTCGGACTCAATAAAATAGTAAAATTGGGGGATAAACCTCAGCTTATAATTTTGTACACCATTATTCTATTTATACCTATTTCAAATGGCTCCAAATAATTCCACATACATCTAAATAATTCCAAATTTAAATAAAAGTACACTAATGTGATATTTATACAGTGCGATCAAAAAGTTTGTCTATCAAGCAAGCATAGAAATTTAAAACGTATGTCTGTGGAAGATAAAATGTCACAATGACAAATGAGAAATGTCAAAATATTTTTTATGTAAATTATGACAGGAAACCGTGGTGAACGATTTTTATGAATAAACACCAACAAGATCTCATTTTAGTTTTTTTTGAGACGTTTCATAGAATAATTCAATTTAATTAGCTCAATGTTTTAACTTTTATAAAATAATTTTTTGACTTCTAGATAACATACGAACTGCCATGCAACATACGTCCTCAACTAGGGCGCCTACTTGATAGAAAGAGTTTTTGATCGCACTGTAGTTTGTGCTTGGTTAAACAATTTCCTTATACAGTGAGCGACAAAGTTGAAGAATAATCTTTTTAAATTAGAAAATATTTTGTTTTTGCAAAAATGCTTAAACAGGTCATTTTTTTAAATACACAATTTTCAACTTGATTTAAAATTTTGCACTTTTTGGTTTTCGAGTAATGACGTAATCGACATTTTTTTAATAGAAACTCCTAATTTTTTTTGGCAGTTTAATAGATCTTTTAATTGTTGAAATGACAACACCAACATATTGCATAAAGTGTTTAAAAAAATATCTAAAAAGTAAAATACTATCAACAAAAAACAATTTTGTATTTTTTAAAAAGAATATTGACTTTATGGTTCAAACAAAATATTTTCAATTTTAATTAATAAGATTATTTTTGAATTTTGCCGCTTACTGTATAATTGCTCTTGGTAATAATTGTAGTTACTTTTATAGTTTTTGCTTCTTTTACTTAATCTTTTATTTTTAATAACTACATAGGTAATATTAGTATCAGCAAGTACACACAATCAAAAACACAAAACACAAAAAAAAATATTTTGAAAACGTATTAAATATTAAAATCTATTTGAAATCTTCACACTTATTACCTATTAGTGATTTTAATTTGATCATTATTTAATTTAAAAAGTTCTTCTGAAGGGAACATAATACATACACTTTTCCTCAACCTCAATATCTTCGACTTTTGACCATATAAATTACCTGTGGTTTCTGTTATGTTTTTTTAAATGTGATACTAAATCACACTTAAAATGAGTTTAATACGCATGCGCCAATGTACTCATAGTAAACGCCTATATTGGCATAAGTACTTTCAAAAAATTCTTAAAAATCTCAAAGAATTCCAAACAACAATTCTAAATATTTCCAAAACTAATCATGAATAATAATAATAATCATAATAATTTCCACGTAATTCCACCAACTTGTAGACCATAACTTCACAACGGTTTATAACTTTTAATAAACACCCAGTTTAATAAAATAAAACAACAAACAACAGAGAAAGGCTTGTTTATCAACGTACAAAATCTCACTTTTATATTAGTAATATTTAAAAATGATTTTAAGATAAAGAATATTTTCTCAAAACTTAAGAAAAAGAAGAGATAGCAACAAAAATGTTTAAATCTAAAGATAAAACCAAAATTTTATTTTTACAAAATTTACTACTCATTTAACTAAATCTTCAAAAATTGTAGCAAAATCAAAAAATGTATGCATAAAATTTTCCATATAAGAATAAATTCAGTAATCGACAAGTTTTATATTACTCAATTTATTTAATGAAAATTTACTGATATGTGTAAGGGAAAAAACAAACTGTATCTATTACAGTTTTCTTTCGATTGTTATTGTAATTATTCAAATCGATATTTAATATTTAACAAATCTAAATTGTTTTAAGTCTGCAATTAAACGTCAATTTCCTCTGTTACAGGTTATTTCTGGCACATCACGGACATCCATTATTACGCTCATCACGGCGACGCCAAGAAAGGTATGTGTCCCCATTTCCGATCAATCCGAGTTCACAAACTGAAAATTTCCCAATTAGAGTGAACATTTTGTAAAATGTGTCCCGTCAATGTTTGTAAAACTAAAACTCTCTTATTTCAAACTCGTTGAATCGAAATTTTGATTGACGTCGCTTCCGATTCTGAAAATGACAAATACGGTTTGAGGGTGAACGATTTAATCGAAAAAACAATAACAGGGAGGGCTTTTTAACATATTTTTTATGTGTGCAGATAACAGATGCAGCCAATTTATTGTCGTATTATACGAGTAAATTATTGCTCAGTAGGGTGGAATTTAATTGTAGGTTTTATGTATTTGTTATAAAATTTTGTAGAATTGACTAGAACTACTCTATTTTGTTTGAAATATAAAACTCCATATGGACTAAAAAATTCTCAAAATGCAAATAGTAAACAATGATGTCTATCCTTATAATTCAAGTTTCTTGTATTTCAAGTTTTAGGAATTATTTTACGTTGATATACAGCGAGTTAAAAAAGTCCATTAGTGACTTTTAAATGGTAAATTAAAAAAATTATATAGGAAATTGATAGATACTAATCTAGTCCATCGCCTAAAATTATTTTCAACTATACAGCGTGTCTCAAAAATAAGTTACAATACAATCTTGTGTTTTTTAAATGAAATATCATGTTTCTTAGCGTTTTTAAATATAGATTTTTATGACAATGTTTTTAAGCTAAACTTTTATTGGTCGATTTTGCTTAGTTTTAAAAATAAGACGGTTTTTTGCCGAACAGATGGACTTTTTAAAAATTTATTACACAAAAACTAAGACATCTAGAAATATTTTTTTACTGCCGCAAAGAAAAAGGTACAAACTATATAGTTGAACATTTTTTTACTGTTGCATTTGCAAAGATAAAAAAATGAAGGCGTTTGTTAAAAGTTTCAATAACTTAAAAATCCCTATTTATAGTTTTAGCATTTAAGAAATTATTAAATTGTTTTTCTAAAATTATTTACTTTTAGGTGTTTATAATCAATAATTAAAAAGATATTTAATGTTAAACATAAAAAAATAATTACTGTTATTTCAGTAGTCAAAAAATGCACAGTTGCACAATAGATGGAAGAAATATCACTTAATAATTACATTTGTGTTAAACTGAATTGATTTTTCTTTATTTTTACAATAAAATAATTCGAATTTTAGTATTTATAACGACTTTTACAAACTCTGGATAAATCAACGGATAAGTAATCCGTGGTGGAATTACTATGGTTGCCATATTATCAACAATGCTCAGATATTAATTCACATTGTTGCTACTATTAATATTGAATGTTAAATATCTTTTCATTTATCAATTCTAGACATGAAAAGTTTATTTTTTTAAATAAACAATTTATCAATCTATTAGATCCAAAAATAAGAAATATGTGTTCTATTTAAATTTTTTAAGTTATTTAACTTTTAAGAAACTTCTTAATTTATTAATCTTTACAAATGCAAAACACTAAAAAATTGCTACAGTTTTAAATTCTGTACTTTATTCTTTGCAGAAGTAAGAAAAAAATTTCTCTAGCTGTCTAAATTTTTGTGTAATGAATTTTTAAAAAGTGCATGTTTCGTCAAAAAAACGTCTTATTTCTAAAACTAAACGAAATCGACTAATACAACTTTAGCATAAAAACATTGTTTTAAAAGGCTACATCCAGAAATGCAAAGAAACATACATTTAAAAAAACACAAATTTGTATCGTAACTGGGACATGCAGTATGGTTAAAAATATTTTTAGGTGATGCACTAGATTAGTATCTATCAATGTTTTATATATTTTTTTAATTTTACCATTTAAAGGTCACTAATGGAATTTTTCAACTCGCTGGGACAGCATGTATAGCTATTGTAGCCATTTATTTGCATGGATTGAAAGGTTTATTAGAAGTAAATAATAGGCTATGTTTACTTGTATATTTATATAAAAAATGCAGAAACAGCATTTAAAAAATTGGTTGCAAATTGTTAATTGTTGTGTATGAAATATGTATTTGTTTTAAATCTGTGAAACCTGCAATTAAGAAAATGTTTGTGTAATGGGAACACAGATCGATGTAACATTTCGAAGGCAATCACTAGCCCGCTCTTTTGTTGGCGTGGAATATTCAAGTAAAACTTTTCGAGTCGACAAAATATTTGTCTTTTATCATGTTAAGCTCACCCCCGAGAAAAACACGAGAGGAAGTTAGTAGAAGCTTTTAACAGAGGAAATGAACTATATTATTCCAAATTGCTTTCACAAGAAATGTTTCACAGTCAAGTTTCCGTTTAGAGCGAAATTTAGACAAAGTCGAGTGTCTACTTCACTTCAGTTAATTGTCTTTAATTTTTTTTCCATATCTTCTGCTCCTTCAATCACGAAATGCGTCTCAGTTCATTTATAAAATTTTCTCACTGGAAAATACCGAAACTTTCTTTTGTTGCCTTATACCCAATTACTCAAAAGATTAATAGTTTTCCCTGCAAATCATCAATATCTACTTGTCGGACTTTCTTTCGCCGGGTTTTTTTTTCCAAGGAAAATGCCTCTAACAAAACAAATAGTCTCTATTTATCCACTTTCAAGCCACGTCTTTATTTTCGTAAATTTATAGGCCTCATTCTACGCGGTCTTAATTAATTAGACTCCGGTCCTGATTTATGCAGAAATTATCCGGTGCGTGATAAGGAAATTCCAGGGCCGTAACTAGCCCCGAATTGCTTATGAATATTTGATCAAACGGCCAAACGCCCTTAATGTTTACTCGTGTTTAAAAATCAAAAAGCGCAAAATTGGATTTTCGGCGAAGAGGCGCTTTAGATAGAGCGCTGAATTATTGAATAAACCTCATTATTGTTCGGTCGGATTTAAAATCCGATAAAGGTTAACCTCCGAAACGTATTTTTTATCGATGGACGTGTTCATTGAAATTTATCGCTAGGGATTTTAATTGGGAACAAAAGAATTGACTCTAGAGACTTGACTTCTTTAGCTGTTAGCTCTAATTTTCGATCCGATAAAGAGAAAAGGTTGCCAGATCATCGACCTGTCTTTTCTCTCTTCTTTCCTCGGTTCTTTGCTTTAAACTTGACATAAGTACACTGTGTATAATCCCAAATAGGACATAAAATGGTCTGGTGACCCGAGGGAATAAAGCCATCGCCACAAGCAATTCCGGTAAATGCTCTGAAGATGCACTGTCATCACTATGAAACGCCGCGATTTGCATGTCACTCATAGATATGGTCAATTAAGGATTGGTTGAGTATGCAATCAAAATGCACATATTTTTATTCATTGTGAGCTATTTTTAAAATAAAATTTAAAAAACTACTTTCAACGGTGATAATTCCAGATCGGGATAAAAGGGTTATAAATGGGTTATGTGTGAAGTTTTAAACAAGTTTTTGCGCTTAAAACGTTTAGTAAAATATTCAATAGTAAGTTTCACCTTGAGGTAAAACATTGCCCAGGGGTTTGGTACAGAAATTAACCGAAATGGAATTAGGGAGTGATTGATAATTAACTACTTTGCATTCGTGTTCCTGACACTAGTAACTACACAATGTTGTTAAAAAAATTTAAAAAACATTAAAAAAATATAAGGTAGCACCGGGTAACATTGACACATCTTTAGAAAATTTTGTTTTTATTGATTATTAGCCAAGTTTGCAGGCTTAAGGTTAAGCAGTTTATAGTGCATACATATTAAAAAGCAATTTATAGATTGTGTTTCAGTTTTCAGTATTATTCATATTTTTTCAAAATTCTGCAGTGTCAATGTTACCCGCATTCTGCTAAAAGTGAATGTTTGCTAGGTGTGGTCACATTGACATGAAAAATAATGTCTTACACAATTTTTTGTTTTCTAATTCTTATGATATTTCTTATATAATTCTTATTTTTATATTTCTGTTTCTTATATATTATTTCAAAGGAACATGTCAATATTAAAAACTAAATCATATTATTAAAGTTTTCTGCTGAATTAATTAATAGAAAATAAAAAAAAATCCCGCGTATTTTAAAAATATGTCAATTTTGCCCGCCTTTACCTTACTACTATAAAAGTGAATAACTGTTACAAAAAAAAACTTTTAATAATTTTATTACTTCCTACTTCAAATTAAGTTACCTTTAATAGAATACTGGGTGTACCGTTGTAACAATCGGTACTCTGTAACACCTATAGTCGAATTCAAAAAAATTCAAAAATCATAAATAAATAAAAAATGATTTACATTTTCACAACAATATTGATTCGATGACTAATTATCAAACTTCATGATGCGAAATAATGTATTTTTGTAAATTTAGGTTCGCTCATTTACACAGGAATAATTAATTTTATGCCCAAATGTGACACTAACGACCACTTTTTTTGAATTTGACTGTATAATTACTTATTGACATAAAATTCAGTAAAAACAAAAAGTGTTTTTGTGTTGACCAGAAAACTGGATATTTTTTTGTTTAAGAATAACAACAATAAAATCCAAAAATGCATAATAAAGAATAATGTGGTCTAAAGGTAAAAGACAAAAAATGCTTACCTGCCCTAAAATATTATTTTAGGGTTAATTTTAAACAAAATATTTCTGTAAAACTAACCTTCCTATACATTACACAAGTGTACAAATAATAACTTGTTTGATCCAGGATGCGCCAAAACTCGTATCCCAGAGTTTTGCTAAATAATTATGAAAAATATATCGTGCGATCAAATAAAAAATAAATTAGAGTAGGCGTCGATTAAATTCTACAGTTGGCAACACATTGGCTGGGAATCTGGGCTGGAAATTTTCCACACAAACTGAAAGTGAGAATGACGGCACCGTTTTCCTCTTGTACAGAAATAAAAAATGTCTGCTCTAAAGTGAACATTATTTCACTCAAAATGAATAAAACTCAAACTTGTCAAAATTTCCGCTGACATTTGATGTCAAAAATCAGGATTTCCATCTGAAGGAAATGTCAAAAAATAAGTCATAATTTTTTGACAGTTTTTTTTCCATGTTCCTAGTATCTTATCTTACTTGAAATTTTTCTCTGGGGCGCTAATTCTGGCGCATCCTGTATAATACATAGTAAATCATTGGTAGTATTTTTCCTTAATAGTTTGTTTAAAACAAACTTAAACATCAATAATAATTAAATTCCAACAAAGTTTGAAACCCATTATTAATTAATTTTAATTACAAACAATTTGATCCTAATTTTGTTAGTAAATAAAATTAATAATTATGTTAATAATCAGTTTTATTAACAAAATATGGATATTTGTAGCTTTATAGAAGCACAACCAACTAAATGCTGTAAAAAGTTAAAAATACACTTTGTTCAATGAAAAAAACTGACACAAGCTAAACTAGAAATTGTCGATACACAAATGGAGTACGAATAGCAAGCAGAAAGTTTTGTTGGAAAAAATAAAACTGAAACAAGCAACATTTCCAAACTAAAATGTAGCTAAACCAATTATAATGATCTGTAAAGTTTATTTGAAATAATAACACATCTAAAAGTGTATTTATTTGAAAACTTTGTCTTCGTGAGACATAACTTTAATCACTACATTTTCGATTCAAGCAAATATCTTGTTACTCCATAATACATTTTATACATGTTATATCGGTAATAATTTTATGTTTATGCACAAATGTGGAAGATGTGACAGCACAACAAATTGTGTAGTGTAGACATTCACAACGTCGCAATGGAGTTTGATTTAAAGCTAATGAAATACTTAAGAAACGACTGAATCTTTGAAGATTTATTACGTTATTGTTCCATCGTTTCAAACATTGTGCATTTATTTTGATTATTTCACCACTGGTGTAAAATTTTGCAAACTTTTCCCACTTCCACATCATAAAATACCCAAGTTACAAGTTTCGAAGTGATCCCAATGACCGTCTTACCAAACCAAACGGAAATTGAATTGTACTTGCTTGGGTCCCTTCCTGCGACATATTTATGCCGCTGTAGCGACCTCTATTGACTCTATAAACCCGATCGGAGGTTGTATCATCCCGCAAAGTGTTTGAAGATTATTTATCAAAGGCCTTACACTGATACAACTTCTCCAATAACTCAAAGCCATTACGCGACCCCAACCGGAACTAAACGTTCGAATTCAAACTTCCCAGAAAAGGATACAAAAATGTTTTACCTAAAATATTGACATTTTATTAAGTTGATTTTTTATTTTGGCCGCTTTGCAGGCTGTTGGCGGGCGGATTACGACGGGGGATCCACCGCGAGAAACCAGAGGAGATCCATGGGGCGGTATGGAGACTACAGTTGTGACGCACCATGGGAGCTGATCGAATCGGCCGCAAAAACCATGATGTCGAGACAGAACGACAACGTTGAGTTTGTTTTGTGGACAGGGTGAGCAAAAAATTCGTACAAAAGTCCTTTCCTGTTTAAAAGATGGGAATTTGCAAATGTTCAAATTTTTGCAATAAAGCGAACTTGAAATTTGTTTAATATGTATTTAATTAATAATTATTATTATGCAAACAAGTGATAGCACACGTATATAGAATTATTTACAGAATAATTTAACAGATGATATTAAATTACCTGGTGGTCACAAAACAATTATTGTATCTGTAATTGCTATGAACAGTGCAAATTTATACAGGGTGTTGCGTCTAAATCCCACATTAGAAGTACATATTGGGAGTTTGAATAATCGTATTTATTTGAAAATTGGTACTTAGCCATAATGCTAAGTCCTCCTGAATGAAAATATTTTCAATGTGACGGCGCTTTCGCTTACACCGGAAGTCGGTCTCAACTTTCTTATTTTAAATGGAAAGGTATATTTTTTACTGCGTTTTTGGATTAATTGGGTTATTTTAAGGAAGTTTTCATCAGCTTTCCCTATACCTAAATTTAGCCGTTTTTGAAATATTTACAGTTTTTCAAAAATTTTTGGTTCTGCACCTTGCACTTTACAAATCGGTAACTCTGCCATTTTTTAAGATTTTGAATTCGTTTTTTTGGCGTTTGAAAGAGAAGGCCTAGATCTTTTTTGTGGTGTTTTCAAATTTTGAAAAAAAAACATATCCCAAAATTTGTAATAATTCAAATGCTCATAACTCAATTTTTTCAAATGAAATACCCTAATTTTTATTTTACTAACTAGAAGAGAATTCAATTGTGTATTGAGCTGTATTAACATTTCCTATACCTAAATTTAATAATTTTCAAGTTATGGACTTTTTGTTAAGACTACAGAAAATTTATTACTAGCCACACAAATTACTATTTGACAAATAGTGCCAAAATATGAAGAATCAAAGTTATGCAAACTTAATTATTATTGATAGGTTCTACCATGCGATCATTATTTAAAGCTAACAAGTGAGAAACATTTATTTTTGTTTAATGAACGACATCATAATTTTGTTACACTCTCCATAAATACAAAATAAATTAATTAAATCTAAGTGTGAGTAGCTTTGACTCTCCATATTTTGGCACTATTTGTCAAATAATAAGTCACTGTTGACGTTTATTGAGAAACAATTTTGACATTTTTGATTTCCATAGCAAACTATACGAAAACGTAATAGATTTTCGACAGTCTTAACAAAAAGTCACCATAACTTAAAAATTATTAAATTTAGGTATAGGGAATGTTAATACAGTTCGATGCAGAATTATATTCTCTTCCGTTTAGTAAAATAAAAATTGGGGTATTTTATTTGGAAAAATTGAGATATTGCTATTTGAATTATTACAAAAGTAACCTTAAAATTTTAGGGTGTGTTAATTTTTTTTGAAAATTTGAAAACTCCGGAAGAAAGATCTAACTTTCTTTTCAAAGGCCAAAAAACGAATTCAAAATTAAAAAATATATATTCAAAATAGCAGAGTTACCGACTTTTAAAATGTAAGGTGCAGATCTAAAAATTTTTGAAAAACTGTAAATATTTCAAAAACGGCTAAATTTAGGTATAGGGAAAGCTGATGAAAACTTCCTTAAAATAACCCGATTAATCCAACAACGCAGTAAACAATATAACTTTCCATTTAAAATAAGAAAGTTGAGACTGACTTCCGATAAAACCGGAAGCGCCGTCATCTTGAAAATATTTTCATTTATGAGAACTTAATGGATTATGGCTATGTACCAATTTTCAAATAAATATGATTATTCGAACTCCAAATACTTTTAATGTGAGATTTAGACGGAACACCCTGTATAATTTAACAAAAAAACAAAAAATAGTTTACAAAAAAGTGTCTCAATTTTAATTTTGAAGACACAAATTAGTTTATTTTTACAAAAATAGTTGGCAACATTGCAAATTTACCATGAAAAATAAAAACAAAGTTTGAATAGTATATTGAAAAACAAGTTTTATAAGACCAACCTTGAAGCACAAATCCATGTTCAAGTAACGAGTAGCGTAAAAAACGTTTAGGTACTTCAAGGTTTTTTAAAACGAGTTTTTTATATTATTTTTTTGTAATTTATCTTTTTTATGCCGTTATTAAGTGAAAATTTGATCTAGTAATCTTTTGACTATTGACTATTGTCTCGTTTTTTAATATAACTATTAGAGAATAAAAATGGAGGCAAATTGCCAAATGAAAACTATTAAAAAACGCCACTTTAAGAAAATAAATGAAAAGAAATAAAATAGTACATTAAATTCGAGCTGGAAAATGCGTCATTACCCGAGGGCTCAGATTTTGGATAGAGTGCAAGAGATTATGTTCATTTCCACCAAGGCTTGTATACTATTTTACAAATTACATTTTTTAAATAATAAAAATTTATTCTTCTATTAAAGTTGACCAATGGCATAGTTTCTATGCAAACAAATTCGTTTGCTTTATGCTTCATAAATAATTTTCCGATCGCGGGATGTAATAAAAAAATTCTCCGGTCTCCAAAAGGTTAGGAATCGGCTTATTACTATATTGATTTATTATGTCCAATAGTTACTTTCTTTGCGTTATTTTTTATATTTTTTTATTTTTATATTAATTGGTTAATGTTTTATTAATGCTGATGCACTGATAATTGTAAAATACCTATATAAGTAGTTTTATACAGGGTGCGACAGAACTCGCGCCTCAGAGAAAATTTTCAAGTAAGGTAAGACACCAGAAACATGAAAAAAATGATTACAAAATTCTATCTGTCAAAAAATTTTGACATATATTTTTTGACATTTGACATTTTTTTATATGTATTTAATGATACTGATAATCTCGTATATGTTTTTTCACAATTATTTAGTAAAGGGACAAAAATTTTGCCAATAAAAGCCACAAATAACATTGAACAGAGTTACAATTTAGGATACAACTTCCTTGTTTCCTCTTTTAATAGCCTACAGCAAAAAAACTTGGAAAATTATTATTCCAACAGAAATAAATAGAGTCAAAGTGAAAACTTTAAATCCTCATAACTTCGAAATTTTTATAGATAAAATTTTTTTAACATTTTTTCCATGTTCCTGGTATCTTACCTTATATGGCATTTTTCTCTGGGGCGCGAGTTCTAGCTCACCCTGTATTTAAAAGTTTCTCACTTTTAAAAAATTAGTCAAAAATTTAAACAAAGTACATTTTTTAACTTACAAATACTAAACCCAAAACAATATCAGAGCTTATTTAATAAATTAATGATATTTTATGTTCCAAATTTTGCAATTTTGTCTTTAATTTCTTGTCACTTTTTTTCGAAGTAGTTTCTATTAGCTTTAAAAAAATATTTATGAAATGAATAATTTTTTAGAATCTATTATTTAAAATACATCTTTCGTTTAAAATCTAATTATTGTTACAATCAATAACCCACTGTTGTTAATGTTTAAATCATTTTCGAAATAATTGTATAAGTTCTAAGCTCGCATAATGTAATTATGAACTTTTATATAAAAACCCAAAAAATTATTTTATTTTCACTGCATAATAACGTGTTAGTTAATTTTATTAAAATTTACTCGTACTCGCTGGAAAATTTAAAAATTTTGAAATAATGTTTGTTAGCCAATTCTTGTTTCAAAATTGTTTTAAAATTTTATTTGTTAGTTGAGAAACAAGCAAAATTCCAATTTTTTTGTTTTAAGATCAAAAACCCCGTTGTTAACAATTTTCAAACTCCTCGTCAAATATTTGCTAAATAGCTAACATGCTTTAATTTATAATTTATTAACAAGCAGATTTTACGAGAATTTGAATGCATGCACTTAATTGTCTTAATTGTGCTGTTTATAGCAATAATTCAACTGACTGCTGATTTTCTATTTGTGGTATCGAATGCATTCAACCTGTTTAGAGATTTCCTCCGAGTATAAATAACGAGCTGTCTTTTAAACTGCTCTTTACCGAGCGAGAAATTTTATGGACGAGTTGTGTTTAGTTTTATGGCTTGATACATATTTAAAACGTTTGGTGGACTGTTTGACACTTTATGTTTGTATGTAAGACAAAATCAATATTTAACCCACAAATTTAACATAAATATTTCTCTTAACTTATTTCCAAAGTATGCAAAAAACTGAGCAAAACTAGTACATAGTACTTTTACTACTAATTTTCCGATTGATCAAAAGCCGATAGCATAGTTCAGTTAGTGACCTAATTATAAAATTCCAAAAAATTAAATGAGGCGAACAATTTTTTTTTGTTATGAAGCAGTTTTTTACTGAACTAAAAGTAATGCACATATTCATATTTTTGTTATGGGTTATTTTTGAAAAAAATCTTTAAACAGGTCGATTTTATTTTTATATATGCTACATTTTGACAGTATTGTAACATTTATGACGTCATTGGATTTTGAGTAATAACATCATCTTTTTTTTTTTAATGGCAACCAACAATTTTATTGACTGTTTTTGGTAATTATTCTTCAATCTTTTTAAAAGAAAATATTACAAAAAACAGTAAATAAAAACGTTGATTGCCATTAAAAAAAAATACTGATAACGTCGTTAGTGTAATGAAAATGTATCATTTACAAAAATATAAACCAGTTGTTCAATAATTTAAAAAAAAAATTTGCCATAAAATTATGAAGTTTGTGCGCTACTTTTGGTTCATCCTGTATTTGATGCGTTAGTAACCTAAATTACAATCATTTTTATTACTGAAACAAAAAAAGTAAAACGCATCGGTTTTTTCTGAGTAAACTCATCTAAATCCTCCACACATAATATAAGATTTTTTACTTAAATTCATTAACTGAACAATTTTGTCAATATTTGCTGACTCGAAAAATTAGAAATAAAAAATTCACTCCAAGACAATATTGGACAAAATCGATTTTGCTTAATATGGCGACACCGCTTATCCAAAAGTCGTTTTCTGAGAGAGTAGTAGATGTAACAGAATTTGTAAACACATAATTTAATAAATAA